TTAATTTAAAACAATAATCACGTTAAAGAACCCCATGCATCATATGCTTGAATGACAAAATACAAACCACATAAAGTAGTGGAAAAGTCAGAGGCATACTCTCTCTGCCCAATTTTTACTATCTTCGCTATGTTTTAAGGCCTGATTTACAAAATCTCATTGAATTTATTCTCAGGAATCCAACCTCCTTTTCACTGATCAAAAAATGTCACTTGATCAAAGAATCATGTTTAATGCTCACTACAGGGGCTTTAAAAAAATACATCAGTAATTTTATGGCACAATAAACCCCCACGACATTTCAGGTGCTGTTTTCATCACCAACGCAGTATCTACAACCCTCATATACTTACCAAAATGAGTGCAGATTTCTGTACTTCCCATGAAACTCACGGAAGCCATCTCAACCATGGCAGCTAACCTAAGAGAGTTGGACAGTGCCTAGAGAATAAGAGCTCTTCCTAGAGGCACATCATTGGAATTTTTTTTTCAAATATTCAGTGAGCACAGCACTCACCCAAGGCATAGGGAACACAAACTCATCCTCCTCCTCAGCCTGAGGAGAGGTAAATTGATATCCCACATTTTCAGATTACTCTAATCAGTAATCAGCAAACTGATGCAGGATGAGTTGTACCATCTTCTCTACTTCAGTAGAGAAGTAATAATCAAATACTCATTAAGAGAGGGACGGAGAACAAACTTAACTCTTTCCTGGATACTCACCTAAGCAAGGCTAAATCTGGATTACAGCAAACCATTATATGTTCTACAGTTAAAAAAAATAGTTGATAAATTGACTATTTAATTATAGAGCAAGGCTAGGAACACCAGTGAAGGGCGGAGGAATTAAATCCACGTGTCTCATGTCTTAAGCTAACACTCTAAGCACTGAAGAACAAAATGGGAGTAGAGATACCACCGTTTTTTCCTTCTAACTCTCCTTTATAAAGTCAAATATTCTCCTTCAGAGCTTCATACAGGAAAAGCAACAGTAACACATGGCCTGGGCAAGTGCCACTGAACAATCTGCAAGTAAGAACATGAACAGGATGTAGCAAAGTCCCATTGCAACATAAAAGGAAACGCTGGACTGGACAATCTGACATTGAAAATAGAAGTGACAGTTGTTTCTTCTGAGTAGTGATACTGAGTATGCTCAATGGAAAGAATTTTTTTTTTTAAAAAAAAAGATAGGAAAACTGCAGGAATTGGTATTTGTGTTACTTCCTTTCTCTGAAGCACCTTTAACCAACTGCATCACAAATGAAGGCTGACGCAAGCTGAAAAAGTCATACAAAAGGTTTTTCTTTGAAAATCTCCCAAATAAACTTGATTGTGTTAGAATATGTGTCAACTGGAAAGCAAACTCCTGGTGCTTTCCTCCATCTATGTCTTAACAAATTTAATTCTAACATACTCCACTAGGTTCCCATTTCCATGTTTTGCCATCTGGATCTCATCTTCATAAATACATGTTACATTCACCCACTTGGCTCACTTCATCTGTAGAGACTTGTTAAATGGCTTTAAAGATGATTTACTAAAAAAGCTAGAGTGTAAAGATTTAACAGGAGAAGAGATTAATTTAAGCAGGGAACTTCTTACTTTAATGTCAAAATTATGTTACCAATGATTTTTGGCTTCCCATATTGATCAGCTGATTTCTGCCCTATTTGCATTCGCTCTCTGGCTCTTACATGTCAGTATTACCACATAAATTACTCAGAAAGCACCCAAGTTCACAGCACTGATCTAGTCACAAATTTCAAATGCCTGAAATACAAATGTGTAATGTCAGAAGATTAAAAACCTGAAGTCTACGCACTAGTGTCTTGTTTCTGAAGCAGCACAGAACATACTGAGCTCAAGGGAGTTAAAGTTTAATTTAAATGTCTTTTGATCACTGAATTATGTTTTTCCCCCAAAACAAAACCAAGCTTCAACAAAGTAACATCAATCTGAATGGTTTGACTCACTCAGTTACTTCAGCTGTATTTTAAAGTGCTATTAAAAGTTTGCATTTAAATCCCAAACTCTATTACTATTTTTCAAATCTAGAAAAAATACCTTGGAGGAATTATTAAGACTATAAATGCTGTGCCAACTAATTGTTTCTGCCTTCTTCAGATGGGCACAGAGCCTTCATTCCAGTTAATGTTGTATCTTCAACAGCTCAAGTGGTATAGGTGCACGCTTGAAACTGAAAATTTGCATTTTATTCTGTAAAATTATGCACAGGGCTGTATCTTTAATCATGGTTTTCTCTTCCACTCTGAAATAAAGGGAGAAAGCTTGTGTGCAAGGAGATTGGTCCTTGAGCAAGATCCTTCTTACACTATTTGGCTTGTATCTCCCTAGCATTTTCAGATGTAAATAGCCCTACCTTCTCCTTCTCTAAATCTACATATAAGACAGTCCACGTCAGGATTCTATAGGTTCTAGCACTTGATATTATAACTCCATTCCAGCAACATGCAATTCAACTAGTTATTTAAACAGGAACCGTTTTTAATGATTAAACATTTTATGAAGTACTTCACCGAAAAGTGAACAGGTAGATCCCAAAAGAGTAGTGCCACAAGCTTTGTTGAGATGTCTTTTTAGCAAATGAACCACTGAACTGTACTCCAGTATCAATCTAAAAATGATTTTTTTAATATTTTGAGTGTGCTGAAAGAGGTCCAGGTCAAAAAGGAAAACCCAGGGTGTCAAAAACCTACCTGGACTACTTCTGTAATATGCTATCAGGCAGCTAGGCTAACTTTGGCTATTAAAAGTTTTCATTTGACTAGAGATTTAACAGCAGACTCACTGTCTTCAAAGACTAATATTGCTTCTGGCTGCTTCTCAATACCCACCAGCAGTCCAAATTCTTCTGGGCTCAGCTTCAATCTGTTTGTCCAACCTGAGCTAGGCACCAGCTGGGATATAGAACCACATCATCCTCAGCAAATGGGGTAGGAAGGCCATACTATCCTCTCTGTAAGTATCTGCAGACTGAAGCAAAGCATTATCTTCCACAAAGGTTCTCAAGAGTTTTAAGGTCTTTGGATGACTTGGGATTCCTGTACAGCACATATGCTATATGTCATAACAAATCTCCTGCTTCCCAGTCTGTATAAAGAAAAGAAAACTGTATCAACTGTATCAACTGTACTTGATACTGTTGTACTGTCATACATACTGTACTGTTGATACTGTTGTTGCTGTACTTGTTAAGATTGCAAAGAACCGTCAAACCGAGTTCTATAGACTTGGAAATAACTTCTATTCCCGCCACAATTTCTATTTCAGTTGTTTTAAGCCACACTCTGACATTGCTATGCCACCTTGCCAAGAGCCTGTCATTTTCCCATCCCCTTGCACTTGTCACCCAAATGAATTATCGCCTCACATCAGTGCTTCAAAAAGTCTCCTAACAGCAACTGCAGCAGGAGTAGAAAATGATGCAAAACTCAAAATGGTGTAGCATCACTACAATGTTAAGCCTCTACTTCTCCCAGATGGTTATTAGAGTTCGGTGAAGGCAATGTCAGCTCAGCTGCCTCTGAACACACCTGTTTCAATTTAATTTGTAATAATTAGGAAGTCTCGGGCACCAGAAAAAAAATGCTTCTCAGTTACTGTTTCAAATAGTAGAGTTTTCATGTGCCATTTAAAATCTTGTTTTTCAGAACAGACTGCTGACTTGCTAATGCTAGCAAAATGAAATAAAGCAAAATATTTTTAGCAGCAGGAAGTTGTTACTTGCTACTGCCAATTACATGCCTTGCACTTGAACAGTGACATTTTTTTCCCCTTTGCTAATTCTTCAAGATAAGTAGAAGCTGGCACACCGTGCCCGGGGATACGGACAAAGCTTCGTCCCCTGGAGCTGGCCGACACTTGTGCAGTAATAGCCAGTACTGGCAACAACTCGCTGTGACAGAGCAAACAACGGTGTCCTAGATCCACTCTGTGGTGGAGGGGGAAGGAGAAGATTAAGCAGTAGACTTGGATGTATTGACTTTGGCAAAAGGCTGAATACCTTGTCATGCTAATAAAATTACTGAAGCTGAGGAGGAGAAAATGGGGCAAAGGGGGGAAAATAAAAGTAGCATAAAAATTACATAAGAATAGACACTTATACGCTGAGATAATTTATCAAGCTGACAGAGATGAATCATCCACCATTAAAATAAAGGGACACAAGGTTTCTTTATATCACAGTCATTATTTACAAGCCCTTTAAGCATTCATAGAGGAATTCAAGTATTCCCATCTTTTAGTTCAAAATGTGAACTTGCAGACCAAAATAAAACCGCTGGCAAAAATAAGTTTCTACAGGAACAGTGCCCAAAGAATGATTTCTTCAAAAACAGGATATATCTTAACAATCATCATAGGACTTAAAAAAACAAAAACAAACAAAAAACCCTGCACTTTTAAGTCACATGGGGCTCATGCAGTTCACACAGAACAAGCCCTATAGCAACACCCCAGTGAGAGCAGGTGACAAACAGCACCAGTGCTACAGCCACACACCTACTTATGTCTTCTTCAAATATAATAAAGTGTCTGTTATTTCTCTGAAGTGACACACAACTCTTCTTGATGCAGAGTAATTTCCACAAACTGAATATCCTAATGAACCCAAAAGAGCTACTCTCAGTGAACTAACTTCAGCATTTATTTCCACAGGTAAAGGCCCATCATTTTAATTAGAATGAAAAAGAAAATGGATCTGGAAAAGTCAGAGCAATTCTTCCTGAATATTGTTCTGATTATTTAAGAATGGTCACCATTTTCCATAGACTGACATGGATGTGTATTTAAAAACTGGACAAGAGAACAAAAAAAGAAACTCAAGATGTGTGTTAACAGTTAGCACCATCATGCCACAATCTAAGTGAACTGTGAGGAATACAAGTGTCTACCAGAAGCTTTGTTTATATCATGTACTGTGTATGAGACACCCATTTATCTTGTACAACCTTAAAAAGATCGAAACTCAGAAAGTACATGAAAGCTCTATCTTTTATTCATTTGTCTTTGCTACCTCAATGGGCAATTTCTTTATAATCCATGTTTTTAGCTTTTCTATTTCAGTTCTGCTTAATTCATGATTAAGGTTTGGAAATGTATGGAGTGTTGTTGGCACTCCCAGCGACTTTAACATCTTGTTGGTCTCTTCACCCCAGGAGTAAAGAACTAGATCATCTGCTGTTCCGTGACACTGAAATAATTCTGGAAGGTCACCTTCATTCCTGTTCAAAGCCTGGATAGAAAAGAAACACTGTCAGACAAATCATTAGAAATTTTCAAAGAATAGTTGCAGTTACATGGTGTCTCTATAACAAAGCAATGACAAATTACAGGGTATTTCTTTTACTTTTTAGTGGAAATATAGTACTGCCTGTACAAAAACAAAGAATGAAACACCACTGGGAAAAAAATTACTTCAAATTCTTCTAATGTGCTAACCCTGACAGATGATAAGGTTTAAATTTAGGACTACGACCTTCTTCAAACAGAAGATGGAACCCATTATTATAACTCACTACAAATTTTCAAAGAACAGCTACAGCTACACAGAGTCTCTGATAACTAATGACAGCATTTCATATTTTCATCTGCCTTCTGAACTGATTTATTTCAAATGAAATAATTGTACTGTCTGTGCAATGAAAAAGCAATGAAACATCATGTAAGTTTTAGATAGTTTTAAAACTTCTTTTTTTTTCATACTCTTTTAAACAACTTTCAGGAGATGTCTTATGTTTAGAATATTAATCAATTGCTCCAAATTAAGAATCATTAAGAATCATGCCAAATTTAATTTTGGTCTTTTAGCTCAGCAGCATTTCTGTAAAGCCTACCACATACTCACCTGGTAAACAGAAGATTCTTTGTTAAGAAAACTAGAAAGTGCAAAGACTCCTGCCACATCGCGATGAAACCTATATGCTAAATGCATTGCCATTCCACCTCCCATTGAAAAGCCTCCTGTGATGCAACAAAAGAAAAAAAAAAGAAAAATAAAGGATTTTGCTGCATCTTTGCAACTCACCATATATTTTTTTTTATTTTCATCTTCAGACTTTTTTTTTCTTTTATATACAAAGCACCTCAAACCCATCTTGCATAACAAAGGTTACAAAAATCTTAAATCAAACTAAGATTCAAATAAGAAGCTGGGTAACTAAAGACTTGCTGAAGATTCATTATTTGCTCTTTATGCAACTTGTTTTTCCCTTAGGATAGTACCATTGATGCATGAAAGATATGATTATACTGCTGTTCCTAGCTAAGTAACATTCATCACATTAGACCACCATACTCGTGCTGAGGTCTTTTGTTGTTGTTGCTCCTTGGGATAAACAATAAACTAGATCAGGAAACACAGCCACACACCTCATCTGAGCTTTAACGGGGTCGCTGAATTAATGACTTGATATTCCATCTGTCTCCTAAGCTGCACTAACTCCTTCAATGAGATTAGTTCCTCAAGTATGATTTTTACATGACTGATGCTTATTCATTAGAAAAGAAATCCAGACCACAGTATTACTTTACAAGGATACAACATATAGGCTGTTACATTGGTTGCATCCAGACAATGATCAGCATGGGAATAACTGGCCTGCTGAAATCCCTCTTAGCCCAGAGATGGAAACCTAGAAAGGTTTTGACTGCCGCTCAACTCAGAATAGCAACAGCATGTAGAGTAATGGTGACACCACTGCCTTGTGCCAGCTAGTTAACTGGTGTTAATTAGGTGCGAAATTCTGAGCCCAGGCCTTCCCGCAGGAAAGACATCGATTACAGATTGAAGGAGAAATACAAACATAATAGGTGAAAGACCATGATATTTCAACCGAGTATCTTTCTGAAGTGATTAAAACATGATTCCAAAATTGGGAATGGCTCTTCTGCAAGGATGATGTGAGCTCGGCTCTGTGCTAGACACAAATTTCACACAGCTGCGAGCAGAGCTCGGCCAGGAAGCAGTGTGCACCTACGTCACTGAACCCAAGCCCAACGCAAACGTGACTGGATCCTGGAATCACACAGCAAATCCCTAGGGCGCATAGGATTCAGAGGCAGAAAATGCTGCACTTTGGCCATGGTGAGGCTGCCCCTAATGAGGGATCCTCTCCAGCAGGTCCCACCAGGTTTGAGGCCCTTTTAGCCCACACTCTCTGCTATGGAAGATGTGGCTGGATCTGGGTAGGATATTTTTCTGAAAACACTAGACTAATCCAGTCTTGAAGAGCTTTTCCTCTTCCTCTCTCACAAAGTGTTTCTTGATTTTTCCCCTCAATTTCTAATCAGAATTTACATTGTATTTCCAATTCCTCTTTCTATTTATTGTCCCGTTGAAGTTCTAGGAGATGAATATGGCCAAATGCAATAAGCTGCAGATTCCTGAGTTGCAGAACTTGAATCTTGGGAGTAAAGAAACAAGAATACGCAACTTGGAAGACTGAAGTCTTTCCTTCTTTGCTAACACAATCCTTGACTGAATTAGGAAAACTAGGGGATATACTTTCAAGCCCTGAAGCTATGTACCCAGATCTGATGATACCCTCATTTTATCTTTGGTAAATAAGGCTGGGACCTGGTACTACCCTTTGCATTGATCTTCACCTGTTTCAAGTCAAAAGCAGGATGCCTAAGTGGCAGTTCAGGAAAAGCATGAATTAACATGAAAGGATTTATTTAGAGAATAGCATAGAAAGTCTCAAGGCCTGCCTTGAAGTCACCTGAAATTTTGAATCTGCCTTCATAGATATAAAAATGATGAATATACTACTACAAGCCTTTCAGCTGCATGAAAAGTTCCTACTAGATATGCTCTCTCTCACATTCAGTACAATTCTATAAAGCAAAAACCACTACTTGAGAGTCACAAGGAAACCACAACATCGTCCCTACATTCACAGGGAGAGAAAGAAACAGCTAACTGAGAAAGAACATAAAATACAAGTTGCTCAAGATTCTTACATAAACAATGTGCCTGTGCTCAAGTTTTCTTTATTCTCTCCTGTGGAATCTGATCCTTTCCTTCATCACTTCCTTGTGACTATTCTGAATGACGCAGTCATTCCAAAGCCCCCCACCAAACAGGGCTTACACTTATACATACTTACAGACCATTTTGTATTTCCTTTCACATACAGATATATTTTTGTCCACATATAAAATGAAGCCTATTTAAAGTGTTTTGGAATACAGGAAAAAAAAGTTTGCATTGAAAACTCATTACTAGTTTGTAAATGATTTAATCTAAAATTTTGTACCCGTTTAGTCACAATCTGGCAACACTCTCTGCAATTACTCACCAGCAGTCTTTGACAATGCAGTCACCTTCTGTTTAGAAGAATATTAGGTAATGGTTCTTTCATGTGGCTGATACTACTATGAGAGAATGTAATACAAATGACTAGTTCTTTGAATTTGATTTTCCAGGGGAAAACCTGCAGTTTATCACTTGATACCAGCATATACCCTATTTACAGTAAAGGTTTACAGACAGTATTTTGAATAAATATTTACAATTTGAGGCAAAACTTTTCAGTTATAAATGCTGTCTTTTTGTAGGTTCAATCAAAAACTTTAAACAAGAACTTGATTTTCAGATTAAGGAAAAATAAAAGAAATACACAGATAATACACAAATGTCTCAAAAGATATTACAGGATGTAAGCAAAAGTATGCTTATATACACCAATGATCTCACAGGAAAGAATACGTGAGGTTACTGTTAAGCAGATTGTGTCATAAGTGCTGACCAACACCAAAAATGATACTACAGCATTTCAACCTTAGCCAGCCCTTTGCTTGAGACCAATGCGTTCCTAAAGAGAGCAAAGTTAGTGCATGAAAGTTCAGAGCTTGACAACTGGTTTCACACATATAGTATCTGCTAGCATTATTTTTCCCCATGTATTCTCCTTATACCTGAATCTTAAGAGACCTTAATGCTTAGAAACAATAAAAATACATATATATTGCCTTTATAATGCTCAGGAGCAGTGATTGAATTACAGCGTTATTCCTTCAGGAAAACATTTAACCATTTTCAGCAACTTTTGCTTTCCTGCCTTGCAAAGGAGGTTTACGGACAGGCTTTTAAGAAGTAAGCACATGCAAAATATACTCAATTCAGCAAAACACTTCTCTTTTAGCATAAGAGAAACTTCAGCAAGACCTTTTGACAATGAGGATAGTGAAGATGAGAATCCAGACCATACACGCTGAGGACTAGTGGGAAGACAGATGCCTATAACTTGCTTTAAAAGATGTGCTGAAATCAGAGGATATTCACACATCTGAATAAAAAAAAAAAAAAAAAAGTGAATTGGAAGAAATTTCCCACGTGATACCTTATGAAAAAAAAAAACATTCTTTGCTGGAATATCATGCAAAATATGTTAAGATAACCTAAACCACAGTGATGTAACATGAAATGAATATAGACTGAATTTCTCATGTTAATTTATTCCTGCCTGAAGAAGAGAGGACTCATTACAGCTGTCGTGTTTCAGTGATGAAAAAAAAGCTTTCTTCTGCTTACAAATGGCACTAGGACCCTTTAAAAAATAAAAATATTTGTATAAAATCTTGAGCTCATTTCCCCCATGTACCTTGATTTCCATTAATTTGCTCCTAATTTATATCTGTATGAAATGACAATCTGGTCCATGATGATATTTCAATATTATGTGAAGTTCAGGAAACCAAATATTTACCTACTGTCAAACCTCGGCTTTATTCATTTCATGTATGTTGTCTAACAATGTTTGGGTTTGTATCTAAGAAAATGACTAATGTTATTATCTAAAACAAAGGCTTCTTTATTTATCGTCTCTCACTCAGAAGTGTCCTGCATACAGGGCAGAAGGCTGACGACTGCTAACAACTCTCTCCCTCATGCTCCAGCAAAGGCCTGCAATGACCCACTCCTGACTTCAGAATGCCCTTCAGGTTTTCATTCTTTTTCATAGGAAAAACACCTCCCTGAAAAAATATGTCTTTGCAGCTGCCAACTGCTGAAAGAAAAGTAAATGAGCAGTTCACATGCAAACAAACAAGCAGGGAGAACATTCCCCTAAAAGCACTGCATTGTGCTTTTGTATGGTATTGTATGGTATTATCGGGAAGATAGACTAATAGCTTGGTTAAGCCAAGCATTTCATAAGCATAATTTAGATAAAACACAAAATCACAAAACACAAAAATACAAAATCTGATGATAGAGAAAGAAATATCTTATTTCAATTATATTTGCAGTGACAAGTGGCAATATAAGTCCCTAAACAGGCCCTGTGAAAGCAATATAGCAGGTCCTTCTAAATGAAGGTAATATTTTCCTAACAAAGACAACAAATACAAGATGCCATAAGTGACAGCAAAAGGCTTCCAAGACCAAAAACGTAAAAGTAACAAGATTTTAGGTGCAGCTTATTCAATGTTTTTTGATTTATTGATGATTTTCCATCTTCCCATATTTACAGAACCTTCATTCTCTGGGATGTCAAAGTCAAGAAAGTCAAGATATTTCCTCCCCATCGCATTTTCACACATACTGAGAGGGATGAAAATGCTAATATTTACAAGAAGCACAGAACTTTCATGTTACTTCCACCATGGTTCAGTAGCTATGTAAGAAGTCCAGCAATAAACAACAGTGGTTGTGTGTCTTGTGTTATTGTTATAGTACAAGGGGTCAGGAATCAAGCATGTGTTTTTTGGCATACAGTCAAATGTACAGGACTGTTATTGAAAGCTTATTTTCACTGGCTGCTTACACGAGTGACTACAGGTGGCAGAGACCAACATGCTTGGATCAGCATTTCTGTGCTATACATAAAGTGACCTATAGAAGTAGGAAAGAAACACTAAATCAAGACCAAAAAAAAAAAAAAAAGAGAGAATAACAAGTCAGCCTTTCATTAAACTACAGCTGACAAAGGGAGCACTCTTAGAATGCTTCAGATGTAAAGAGGCCATTTCTGCCAAGAGCTTCTGAGTTATTCAAGGTTAAGATTGTTTAAATCTGACAAGTAAGTGAAGTTAATTTATAATATACTATCATTACAGAAGTAGTAAAAAAAAACCCACTGACCCCTCAGAATCTCAGTTCTATACAGAAAAAAGAAATGATTTTCCCATTTTTTCAATATGACATTATTTGCCTGTTTCACTAATTTAGCAATGAATCCAGGCATTTATAAAGAAAGATATATTCGGTGTTTAAGAAGAGGTACTACCAAAGCTTCACCCATCAGAATCTGACTGATTTCATCATTCTCTGTCTCCAAGTCAACATAAACCCACTTGCAGACTTATTTACAAGAACTGCATTAGCCAGGAAGACTGGTAAGAGTAACTCTACTGGAATGCTTGGCAAGATTGACTTCCATTATCAAATTCTGGGGATGATATAATTATTTTTGAATAATTATATATTTAAGTCATAGTCTCTTTTCTTCCCCCTTTCAGGTTAGGGAGGAGGGAGAGATTAATGAACCAGAAGGCAACTATCTTCAAACGACTTCTGTGTTGTTAGGAAACGAGAACTATCATGAAGCAGGAGTGGGTAGATGCATGGGGTACTACTGTACATTGATGGACAGAAGTCACAGAGGAGTTTTGATGATGGGATTTGTTTGCCTCCAGTAAATTAAAATACTTTGTTCTTTAAACAAACTTTCTCCAGTATTTTTTCTGACATACTGATATAGGGAAGGAGTGGCATCAAACAAACCAGAATCTCCCCACATATTTAGAGTTCTGTTCTATAAATACCTGCTTTTGGATTTCAGAGGAGTTATGCTACCCAAGCACATGTCAGATAGGCTTCTGTGTCTCAGATTAAATAACCCTACTGCAGCCACACTCTTCAGCTAGGTGGAAACTGTGAATGGAGAATATCATCCCCACCAGGTGCTGGGCTTCTCATTTTCCAAGCGCTTCAGTGCCTGCTCCTGCTTCCCCTTCCTTCTCACTCACTCTCCTATGCACCGTGCTCCCTCAGACCTTGCCTTCTTATCCTGCACCTCAGAGCTGTGGGCAGCTGCCCATCTTCCTGCTTGCTAACACCTAGCTTTCCTTCATCTAACACTATCTGACACTCATCCTCAGCCTTTCTGTATTTTGGATGGTGCTAATTCAGAGTTGCCGATTTTTTGTTACATTTATATCAGATTTAACTTTGAGGATGCTAGCTCTGTGCATGAAGCATCTATCACAGAAGCAAAGAAACAGCACCTTTCTAAAGAAGCCTGAAACTAAAGCTCTTCAGAAGGACCATACGAGTGTTACTATTCCCAATTTACACCTGAGGAATTTAGGTTCAGAGATGGATACTTCCACACAATTTAGGGACTGAAATAACTGGTACAAATAAATTTCCTTACTCCATAGACAGTTCGCAAAGCAACTTCCACAGTCTGCAGTCTCACTGTTTTTCATTTTGAAGACTGCAGGAAAAAGAAGAAAAAAAGGAAGTAAAAAAAAAAAAAAAGAGGCAAGCCTAGCAGCAGAGTGTATCCGTCAGCAGAGCATCTCCCAGCTAATGCTGCACAAAGCACCTGCTCTTCTTCAGCTGTTTCCAAGCCAGCAGGTACAACACAGGCAAGTCACATCAAAGAGACTTTGCTGACAGCCATCCAAAACAATGCACGCTGCAGCCAGGGCAATAAGCCAGACAGGGAAAGTAAACAGAGGCCTTCAAAGAGCAACATGGGGTTGGATCAAGAAAACATGCTGGCTACTGGTAGTGGCTCCGCCACTTAGGAGCTTGATGACATGACTCAGTTGGCCATAAATTCTAAAGTTTCCACATTAAAAGCTTTTTTCCCCAACCTGAAATACTTTGCGGTCTAGGAATGGGATGGGGAGCCAAGCACTCCTCTCTGACACAGGCTTCTCCTCTGTGCCTCAATTTCCCACTATCTATTTTACAGAACTACTGTTAAAATTGTGGAAATTTAAGATGGATGGGAAGACAGGCACATATAAAATATGATGGCTAACAGATCATTTATTACCAAGTGCTAATCTGTAATGGTGTTTAACACAGAAGTCGTTGTTTCTCTATGAATTCATTTATCCCAAAGTATTATAGCAGAAAGGAAAGGCCCATCATTAGTTGTATGCTACACAGGCATTTTCAAGGATACACTAGTTTGGGGCATGCATGCTTTCCCATTCCTTACATTGTTAAGCAATACATGGTTCACTGAATGCTTCAAAACATAACTAAAAATGACCAGTTTACAATAAAAGCAATTTTAAACTACATTTTTGAGAATACTGCTCCCAGGTTGCCACACCCCCCACCAGATAAAAATTTAAATAAGGATTCAGTATTTTTGAGGATCAGTTGGTGAAAGGACTGCTCAACAATTCCTGTAATTTCTCATATGCGTTTAGGATGGAATAAATACAAAGCAGGTGATCTCTAATTGCTTAGAAACATTTAAATAAACAAACCAAAATATAAGCCTTTCTCACCTACTAATATCCTATTCTTTGTGATGCCACTTTTAATCTCCTCATTGATCAAGTCTGTAAGGCCATGGCACATGGAATCAATGGTTTCAGTGTGTTCTGGACAGTCATTGGAGATCTTGTATCTGTCAAACCACACAGTGGAAAGGGCTCCTTTCATTGGTGTATATGGCCTGGGGAGGTAGAAAAGAAAAGTTTAGCCATATATAAGATCAAAAGCCTTTGGCCTGACCATGATAAATATAAACAGTGCAGTAACCGTCCAGTCAAGGAGGGATCCGGCTCCCTCCATTTGAAGTCAGTTCACCTCCAACCCCAGTTTCCTCCATGCCAAAGACTGTCTTTCAAGAATGGGAACAGCATCTGGAAGCTAGGTAAAATGCACGTTTCAGTTCAGTCACTTCAACGTCAAGGTTGAAAAGGTCATCTCAACAACTTAAATCCCGAAGCTCCTAAGAGATTCCTAATCCCAAAGGCAGGGTTGAAGCTCACCTGTCAATAGGGCAAACAGAAGTGACTGCTAAACAAGGCTTCGAGGAGCCACCTTTATGGGATTCACTTGTCTTATGCTTGCTGAAATGCACAGGAATTGTGTACTGTGAAACTCTGCAGATTTATACTCAGAGGAATTAGTATTCAAGTACCTTAACATACTGCCCAAACCTCAAATAATCAAAGAAACTACAATTCAAAGCAGCTTATAAAAAACAACAACAAAAAGACAATAGCCTGAAATTCTACAAAAGGTGATTTTACCGCCTTGCAACAGTTCCACAATTCAATACCAACTGTTTTGCTGATTGATGCTTCCTCTCACGATCAAATCTCTTAAAATCCTTAATTGCTCCATTTAATCAGGGGGTGCATTTTTTCATTTTAACTTAAACTCAGATGAGCTCAGATCAGATTACAATCATTGCCTACAAACAGACAGGCTTTGATAAATTTGTCTGGATGGCAACCCAGTGAAAAATGCAAACATTGACTTCTGTTCTCTCTCTGAATTCCTTTGCTACTATAATCAAACAAAAATGCAGTTAATCTAAAGTGAGAAAGCCACTATTGCAATTAATCTAAATGAAGGAACAAACTCTGCCTTTATTGATACCAGAGAAGATTCACAAATGTAAAGCTGTATTTCCAAACTGATTTACTCAATAAGACAAGTAAATAAAATGATGGAACACAGATATTATTCTGCTAGGTGCTACATACATGGCCCTTGACTTAGAGGCTGATAAATCAAATAAAAAGAAATGGCAACAGAAAGGCACACAGATAAATTATACTTTCCATCTATTTGGGCACTGCTTCAGAAAAAGATGTATGACCAAAACCAATCTACTATTACTCAAAACAGCAGGTAAGTATGTGGTCAACTTAAGGTGCACAATGCACTACCATTTTCCCCTCATTTGCTTAATTCAAAACTATCATGTACTCAAGCAGCAGATTTAAGAGTAACACTTCCCCCTCCCCCAAATTAGCCTCTACCTGTCTATTAAGATAACTACTAAATTAAAAGAAATTCAGTGGCAATATTTCATACACCCAACAAACTGAAGCTGTTCAATGAAATATTCTGTATTTTTTTAGTGCTAACAATCACTCCACTGATTCTTTCAGAATCACTGATTCTTTCTGAATGAAGTGATCAACACCTAATGAACAAGAGTACAAATCTCTAATACATGGAAGCTTTTCAATTTGTAACAGAAGACATTACAGGTAAAAAATTTGCAGTAGAATCAGTGGAGTCTCTGGAAGTCACTTGGGTGACAGGACGTAAAACGGACTAAGCGCTTAGGCAAATAAGATTTGATTAAAACTTTTAGTATCTCTCTCAAACACCTTTACATAGATTTCCCTGTAAAAATGCTTACTAGCCAAAATGCTTTGCTTTCTGGTAACAATAATGAACATGTATTTGAGAAAAGATACCGAGTCTTTCAGCATTTTTACAACATGTTGACCCAGGGTTTCCATGACTGAAGAAACACATTTATGTGAAATGGACACAAGTCATTAAAGAATTTTTTAAAAATGGATGTCCTCATATCAGAATGACAGAACTAAAATGTACGCTGTACAGTAGGGATAAAATCCTTGATGAACCTTGTAATACTTCATTAGATGTCAAGACTTAGTAGTTTTATCTACTGTCTTTGCAAATTCTATAGCGAGGTAGATGAAACACTAACGTGTTTTAAGCTAAAAGGAAGAGACCCTCGTGCAAACAGACAAGATGCTTTCAGCTGTCTCAAAAAACATCCTCGCAACCACACTTGATTTCTCAGAAATGCATTAAAAATAACTTTTACATAAAGTTGAGAAGTAAGATTCTTTTAATGGTTCACCCAACTGGTACATCTGTTTTAGTCATTCACCTTGTTCCTTAAATAAATCCCTTTATTAGTTGGCATACTGCAACTCAGACATTACCACGGTAAACAAATATGTTTGGCATGGAACCATCTGTACAGCACCATCCAAGAATACAGCACAATTTTTTTTCTCATACAATTAAACCACAAAAGAGAAATAAGAAATAATCCTATGTTACAGTGACATGAAGGGCTGGATTGAAATGCACAAAAGTAAAGGATCACAAAGTGGAGTCAAAATTCCTTCCAGCAAGCTTAGCATGGACAGTTATGGACAGGGTCAGACCAAACTGTCTGTCCTAAATTAGGATTTCTTGCTTTCCTGAGTTTAAAAAAACACCCTTAACGCTAGTCCCAATAATTTTTGTGCTTCACTTGCCTTATTCTCTTTTTTAATGGTATTAAAGTTCAATGTTTTTAAGTCTCTAAAACCTGTGTTTTTGAAACTAGCCAAAACAAAAGGGAGAGGGAAGTTTTTTCTTTTTCGTTTTTTTTTAAGCCTCTAATGCATAAGAGGCTCAAACACACACAACAGAACAAGATACACATATGCAGAACTTCCTGCAAGTTGAACTAACTCTGAACATGTAAAAATACAAAAAGGCAGAGTAACAGCCACAACTAATACCTAAAACCTGGGAGAAACTCCAGGCAGCCTAACAGTTAGAATCTAAGAAGCTTCCCAACATCCTCCAGATCATTTTTCTGATTAGTTTAACTCTTGTTTTTGAGTGTATGCATCGATCTTCAATGCTTTCCTCATACAAACACCTCTTGAAGGCCTGAGCGTATGAGGCCACAGTCTCAGAAAGATCCAACAGAGCTCAATACCTGAATGTCTTAAAGAAGAGAACATTTCATATAAAATCTTTTTAAGCATGTATCATCCTTTCCATCTTTCACACTTCAGATAGAAAGTAAGCTCCTCTGTAGAATTCATGGCAAAGTTCCAAAGCAACACAAAACATTCACATTTTAACAGAATAAAGACGGGTTAGCCCATGATAGTAAAAACAGTTATACGCTGGCATCAAAAGTATACTAAAAGCATGCAGCACTGCCAACATCTTTTCCCAGATTATACACTCTAGACCTTCTTATGCATGTTTAGAATTGTGCCAAACAGTTTGAAATGACCTTAAATTAATATAAGTGGAGGATGATGCTATGTAAGGCTCAAATTCAGATCCAAAATACATGCAAAATTCCACTTCTAAAATGATGTTCTTAGAAGGGCAATTCACTTAAAACTATAGGTGTTTTGTTGGCTATCCAATACATCACTATCCATTTTCAACAATTTACTTAAAAAGGTAGGCCAGCAAGACCACTAGCTCCTTTAAAAATAAGAAACATTAGAGTAGCAGACAGTATCTTGAAACATAGCAAATATTCTCCCCCCATTCTTCCTCGTGGTGCACAGCTGTATCACCACCTTTACACTCAGCATGATAATTGGTGAGCTGATAAAGTTAAAATAAAACTCAGACCACTGGTGCTGGCTTACAGCTTTCTTGGAGCTCCAGTGAGATTTCCTGAGATGTCAGAGAGAATGAGGAAATCGCAGTGAAGACATACTTCAGGTTTAAAATAGAGAAAGATACTTCAAAATTTGTGAAATACTCACTCTTGTTTCTTCCCATATCCATATCCTTTCAAACAAAAGGCATAAAGTTAAATAAGACTTTCTAATGTTGCCTTTTGCAGGTCTATGCATCCCTTTGAGAAAATCTACAGCATACACTGCCAGAAGATGACTCAAGCTCTAGAATCAAGTCGTGATTCTATTAAAGCTCATGGCAGTTTTTCCAACGAAAGCAAGTTAATTCACTAGTCTCAAATTCTGTGCTAACACAATCTCACTGCCAACAATTAATACACCAGAAGAGAAAATCTGGTCCATAATCCTACCCTTCAGGTCCCATCAGCTATTTGAAATAGAAAGTAATTTTTTTAAAAAAAAGTGGGGGTGGGGGAAGGAGGAGAGAGAATTCACCTCTTCAAATCAGAAGTATAATATCCTAGGCTAAACTGAGGTTCAACACAGGTTAAATATGCAGTGTCGTGGCTTGGTAACAAACAGAGAGTATAAGATGTATCAGGAATTCAAAAGCAAGTTAAACTTGAAAGCATAATTAAAAGAAAAACAAACAAAACAAATAATAAAAAAAGAGAAGAGAATAATCATTTCTGTGAGGAGTAATTCCAGCTCTTCCATGGAACATACTGGGTCTGTTCATTCAGCCACATCAGTGTAAAGATAGATGACTTCAGTGGAGTTCTGGATTTATACCACCAGAAATGAGACCCAATGGAACCAATACAGAATAGTCACTTGAAGAAATAATATGTCTATGAGCTTTGTTACCCAAGTTGATTATTCATTTGAGACAAAAGCTGCAACAGAAGCAGAATTTGACCTACCGAACTTTATATCAGAGTTTATTTCAAATTTTAGTTTTTGTTTCTTTGTAGGGGTGAGGTCAGTTATAGGGATTGTTTTATTAATCATAGAAATAGCAATAATGCTATGGTTGTGTCGACTGCAAATGACCTTTTCTATACATTGACAAATACTTAGGAAGTAGCTATTAGTGGCTGCTTCATAAATTCAGTGAAAGAAAACAGCAAGTGGCAAAGCAGGGGTCAAATTAAATTAGTATTCCACCAAAGGGTCTGAAAGGCACCCCGGGATTCAGAAAGGTATCTTTTACAAGCTTGCATGAACCACTGTTGAGGGTGGATGAACTACACTGGATAAGCACAGCAAAACTGAAAATTCAGGCTTGCAACCCATGCGAAACAGAAGGATGTAAAGCAAGGGCATAGGATGAAACATAACGTAGAACCCCTACTTGCCGGAGGGGTTATACAAAAAATACTTTTTCCACTTCTTCTGCAACAAAAAAATGACTGAAGGAGAGGAAAGATACCTAAGATCCATATGTAGTAAATGGGATTAGTAGTCCAAGGTCAATGTGATCAATAGATCATTATATTCTAACTTGGCTCCCCCAAGTCCTATCGAATATCAAGCAACTCTGCCGCAATGCTTAGTGCATTCTGCATGAAATTTATTATATAACACAAGCATTACATGTTCACTGGAACATATAAATTTCTTTCTTAATGCAAGAAAAACAAAAGAAAATATAAATTTGCTTCAAACATGCTTTCACCATTTTTATGTGGAATATGGTATATTTCTACTAGCAGGACAAGACTAAAGAACAACCCCATGTGATCAAGCAAACCCATTTCCATTTACCCCTCAAAATTCCTCTTCTAAAAATCCTTTTTTGTGTGTGTTAAATTTATGAATGAGGTTAGAGCTCACAAAAGCGAAGGTTTAGTAACATTTGCTTGGGCCAAACATATTAGGATAGGCGCTACGCAGGCTCCCCTGCCCAGCTCTGCCAATGTATCCCTAGTGTGACCTGCAGGACCCTGCTGCGATTCCAATCCTGGGCCTCTCCTGAGCAGAAACTGCCAGCGCAGCTGCACGGTGCCAGACTGTCTGGTGGTTCTGTGACACGGCCAAACGGGGACTACGACGAGATGAAGCTCATTTCCACCCAGGACCAAGGGAGTGACGGGAACTTAGATGAAAGGATGGAGCATCAGTGCACGTAATGCCAAAAACACCCTTACCAGCCATTTATACCCTAGGCAATGAGAAGTTAGAACATACTAGAAAAACAGGCAACCAACTCTGCAGCAAAACGTATTGGCCATGGAAAGGTATGTTGAGTGAATGTCAAAAAGAGCCACAAAATAGCCCCAGCAGTACTTTTAGCTTATTTTCTGACTTGCAGAAGAGAAAGACTATCAGAATGGAATGCAAGACAATGCAAAGAATCTTTGACCTAGATTTTTAAGGGAATTATAAAAGGTAAGGTATACTTATTAAAACAAGTCTAAATGTTTTTACTTTACCACGTTAGCTCCTGCAATGCCAATTTAAACTATCACTTTCTACTAAAAAAAAGTCTATATTGGGTGGTATTCAGTTCTGATTTTGAAGCTCAATAGAAACTGAATGCATAAGTCACAGCTGTAGCAGCTGAAACAGTATTTAAAGCTGTAGCCATCCTGACCCAAATAAAAAAGGAAAAAAAAAAAAGAGCTTTTCCTTCAAAACTGTACTGTTACTGTAGACGTGGCTTTAAGTATTGCATCAGCTACTAACTAAACAATTTGAATTTCTTTTTAATTGGAATATACATATTAAAATTACAAGGGAGAAGAAACACAAATTTAGTTGTATTTACCAACTTAAATCTATGTACAGTAGCATGGATCTAGAAAGAAACTAGGTAAACATAAAAGAACAACCTAACAGAACAAAAAAACTTCTCTACTTATTTTTTATATCTGCTGCCAAGAGCCGATGATCATTCTCTACACAGACCCTAACATTAGAGAAGTGACTGATTTTTTTTTCCTTTTTAGAAATTATAACATTTAAACTAGGCCTGAGAACAGTCCAAAACAATTTTATAATATGCAATTCAGTCATATTCTGTTATTTTTACCCGTATAATGAAAGTGTTCTCTCTAGTACTTGCTGGTCAGCACAATCACAGCAGGAAATACGATTTAGAACTCCTCTAGATTACATATTGGGCTGATTTTCTCAAATAATTCTCCGATGTATTGACTTTTGAATGAAATCAAGTTTGCTGTTACAGTAAGAGAAAAAAACGCATATTTCACTGCCCAAAATGAAATTTAGAAAACAAACCACAAACGCAAAACCCACACAGCCAGCACAAATAAAAAAAAAATCCAGATTTTTTTTATTTTGTTGAAAGATATATAGTCCACTGCTTTTCAGAATGCTCAGTAGAGTAAGGCCAATCAAACCACTATCAGAATCATATCAATCAAACCTGTGAGGAGATAAAATTCCTGACCTGCAGATTATCCCCCCAAAGTCTTTTTTTAGCATTATGGCTGTATCATCAACTTTGTTTTTCCTGACATACTACTTCTACTGAGAGTATTTAATGTGTATGTGGTAAACTATGTGGGAAAAGACAGGAGCTTGTATAGTATGATCTACATCTATATTAGCAGCACTCTGCCAGAAGAGCACATAAGCCAAGCAAGCCTAGCATGGCCTTGTCCAACTGTAAGATTTTCTTTGATTTCATCTTCAGTATCAAAACCTGCTCGGAAGCTCTGCACTCTGCTCTCATAGTTGACAGTGCAGATTGTACCATGCCCCTCTTGCAAGTGCAGCTTTTCCCAAGCACATGCCTTTGTCTTCCCCTGATCAAAGACCAAATCAGAAGATACTTCTGAGTATCTGCACACCCACAACTCTCTACCTACCGGTGCCACGTTAGGTGGCACTGATTTCCTCTGTTGGTGCCAGAAGTGTTTGGAATTCCTAAAATATACAAATAAAATCAGGTTGTGCATTCAAGTACTTATTATTTTAATGCTCTTCAAGTTTGCATGTTTTAGGCCTTGCTTTTCTAAGAATGAAAGGAGAGAAACCATTACAAACATTTCAAAAAGCACAGGATGTTTTGGACCCTACTACCAAAACACCATTTGTCACAAAGGTTTCTGCTATTTATATGTCACCTAGTTACACCTATCTTCACAGGCTTTGCTTCTGCATTGCTGCAAAGAACAATAAACATTTCTGCACTTCAGAGTATCTGTTTTATTTCATCTATGTCAGATAATGTTACTTATTAGCTACAGCGCTGTATACAAGTATTAAGTGTATTTCCCATTGCCTGCCAAAGCCTTCACAGTGTATTTTACATTCTTTCAATACTCAACTTTTCACAGAGCCTTGCTAAAAGCTACTTTTGAATTAAATCAAGTATGACCTCTCTCTGCTCTTGAAAAGAACAAAACCAACTTCCACTTAAAGAATAAGAAAAGTGTCAACTGTTTATTCATACCTTTTAATGGCAACAGTACCTTTCCTCACATCTGGTTACTGAAGAACTGAAATTCACAGCCCTAAGTTAAATTCAAATTTACTAGAAACACCATCTGTTTTACTCATATCTTGCTGGTTGATCATCTGCATTTCCCTCTCTAATAATCTAAAACAACCAAAACAAAAAAGAAAAAACATAAAAAAAAAAGACCAAGAAAATGAGAATGGAGTCCAGAACTTTCTACAAAGCAAAACTTTCTACATTTCTCTAGTAGCAGCATAACAGAAAAGTGAAGCTCTAGCCTAGCAGATGCTTTTGAGGTGATCTGGCTGCTAACAGCATGTTAAGAAAGATTATTCCAAAGGCAAGCAAAACTTTCTACATTTCTCTAGTATCTGCTTCTAATAGGTAGGAAACGGGGCCCCGTGGACCTGTGATGTGCTACTGATATTTCCAGTCACTGCTTTAGCCCATCATCAATTAAGTAATGAGAATGTTATTTACAGAAAATTGCATTTGCTACTTACTAGCCCAACGTAAGTCTTCAAAGACTTCTACTCATAGGCTTGATTTTCCTGTAACACAGTGAGTACATTCACACTGTGATCTTGCAATTGCTTTTCCTGCCTAAGTAGATCATAAAAATACACGGTCAAGGAAACTTTTTTTTCCTTTTTTCACATATTAGTGACTGCCAGACAAAATCTGCTATTATACTTGTTTATACACTCCAAGAGTTTTTTTTCTGACTTTCAAACATCTGTACCTCGAAAGTCTACGGAGAACATCAAAATTTCCTTTTCTTTTCAGCACTATACTTACATCCATAGTTAGGAAGGAAGGAAGGAAGGAAGGAAACTAAAATACTACTGCACTTTATGGAAACCTTTTTCTAACCTAGAATCACAGCCACTTTAAAAATACCTGTTATTAAGCAAAATATATATATCTAAGAAATATAAGGCTATGTCTTTACATAGCCAAATACGAATGTATCCAATTGAGGTACTCAATTTTGTCTTTAAAATTTCACCTCACTAATTTTCAAATTCCCAGGGATAAATACTTTATCACTATTTCCAGTATGCCACTGAATAGACAGGGTCACTTAATAATGAGATCTGTGCCTACAGCCTCCTAGGAGGACAATGTCAAGCTTAAGTCTCTCTGAAATAGCTGAGTCAGGATTCAAACTAAAAGAAATGTGATATTTTAATTTACAGTCCTTTCTTCAACAGTTGAAGACCTCTTCTGTGGTTCACACCCTCCCTGTCACAAAAACTGACAAGCCATCAGAATTGAAGCTTGGCACTGAATACAACAAAATATTTAATTTGTTAACATGTAGAAGCTGCCATAGGTGCAATGGTGATCCAGAATTATAAAGCCTTAGCTTAGGACACACCTAGGTATAACTTCTTCTACTTAAAATAATTATATGGAGAGTATAAGGGCAATTTTTAAATGTGAATGTTTTTAAATCAGAAGCTGTGACTTGCAGGGAATCTTACCCATGCCGAATCATAGTCCCAGGGCAGCAGATTACTGCTGAGCTCCGGCTGTGCCAAAAATCACATACATCAAGAAGGAACAAGGAAGCATCAGGACAATCTACGCCAATATTGACAGGTGTGTTTTACAATGCTGGAATAAAATAACATATTTTTACTGCTAAAAATATACTGAACAATACCTGGCAGGGGCTGTCGGGTAAATTACTTTTATATGTTGGAAAGCCATGTCTTGGTTCAAAATTTGTTTTATCCATGTTCTTGCTCCTTGGCCAGTATCACCTGCATAACACAGAAGAGAACAGCAAAAGTTATTGCTTATTTAGAAGGATGTCTTTAAAATGTTCAAGATATTTATACTAGATAGACTTTATTTATAAACTACAATGTTATTCTTGCAAAATGCTAAAATAAATCCCTTTTAGAATAACTTCAATTCCCTTTCCAATGATAAGGCACAGAAAGCTTCCCAGGAACAGACAGTTTAAGATATTCCACTGTACAAGTTTAATAAATACTTCACTACATCAAATGGTTGAAGTACATCCTAATCAAGCACAAAGCCTCCCCTTGTACTTGCAAGTTATGCTATTTGCTCCTAACAGCAATAAACAAAAAATAGGGTTAATACCTCAAAAGTGAGTTAAGAGAATTACTCTTTACTTAATATTAACTTACCTCAAAACTCAGTCAAAAGAAATAAAAAGAAACTTCACATTTAATTATGGGCTTCATGGGTACATGGGCTTCAGACAAAATACCAGGCAAACACCCCAAACTCAGACATGTTTGGATTCAAACATCTAGCAGCCTGCTAAAAAATCTTAAACCTTAAGACACATAAACATACTGATTTATCGCTGGGGAGATGATTGTTCCTAAAATAAAGGAGGCTTTTCCTTTCTTTAGGCTTTAAAGAAAATTCAGGCAAATGAAAGGCAAAAGGGACCTCAAACTAGCATATTTTCCCTCCTGAGCACAAATGGCATGAAGTTCTCTCTGTGCTTGACCCAAATACTTCAAGTGACAAATTAGTAAGAGTCACAAAACTGGCATGCTTCTTATTCTGTGGTATGTTAGTAAAACCAAAGTTAGAGAGGTAACTTCAGAATGTGTTTTGGCCACATTCTTAAGTTAAGTGAGTAACAAATGTATATCTGATTCTTAGACTTCTCTTCTTCCAGATTACTCAGTGAAATGTATGGATTTCCCCAGGGTTGCAGTCAACTAACATATTAACAATATATCTTAAGGAAGTTTGAGTATATAAAATACTTGCATGGGACTGCTCCTTAGGTAGGTCAACTCTCTATGTTTGCAGGACAAACACTCGTATCTTCATGAGCATCTTATGTTTCACAAGACACCAGAGACGGTGTCCCAATATTCTTTAGACTTTACCAGTACCAGCAGAAGGACCTGCAGTTCGTGAAGTTGGTATGTCAATGAACAATTTACTAAACACTCATTAACAGAAAATTTGACTTTGATCTCCTGTGCGCAGTGTCACCTTGGTCCAAATGCTTTGTAATCTCTGCCTGTATGTGCATGCAAAGATAATGAATTCCTACTTGGCATGTACAGAATTTTAAAGAAAACTCCTCAGTCTTCACAAGCTTGATGGTCAGTCAAGGCAAAGTAAGAGTGATTCAAGCACAGTTTGGAGTCTGTCTCCAGATGTGAAATAAAAAAATGGCAGCACTGTTGTCTTCCCCCTTCGCCTCTCCTTTTCCCCTTTTTCCCCTTCTCAAGTAAAACATGAACTTTCATGTTCCTTTCAAACATCAGTTGCATTTCATTTTTCCCCTTTATTTTCCCTGCATATATGGCAAAACTGTAAACCAGTCTATAAAATTATTATAGATTTAAGGCTTGACTTAGGTCCATTTGCCTTCTAGTTTTATGTAGTGGTAGATCATAGAATCATAGAATGCTTAGGGTTGGAAGGGACCTCTAGAGATCATCTAGTCCAACCCCCCTACATACGCAGGGACACCTAGAGCACGTGGCACAGGACTGCGTCCAAACGGGTTTTGAAGATCTCCAGAGAAGGAGACTCCACAACCTCTCTGGGCAGCCTGTTCCAGTGCTCTGTCACCCTCACTGTTAAGAAATTTTTCCTTAAGTTCCTATGGAATTTTTGATGTTTCAGTTTCCGGCCATTTCCTCTAGTCCTATCAGTGGCCACCACTGAAAAGAGACCATGATCAGTGAAGCAGCACAGCACTAGAAATTCACTGTAATTTTCCTATTCCACGTTGCGCTTATATTCTCCACTTGCTATAATTTATCTGAAGCAAGCATATTGAACTAAATGGATCCATGCCATTTGACTGCCACTTTCCATCACAGCTACTGTGCAGAAGGTACCAATTCAGTTTTATACGCCAGGCCACAGCTGCAGAACTGCGGCTTCTTCTGCTTTAAATTCTATTTTGTGGAATTGCTAAACAAAACCAAATAAAAGCACCCTCCTATTTCCCCACTGCAAATGCGGAGTGAAATCATATCAAAAATGAAAAATTGTGGAGTACTTAAACCACATGTGGAACCAACCCCTAACCATAATCTTCCCTCACCCCTCCAGCATGAGAGGAAACTACTTCCCCAAGCATTAAAGCATTAGCACTAACAAGAGCGATGAACACGTCTTAGCAACTCTCCTTTTTTTATTCTTTTCTAACATATAACCTGGGGAAAAGCAAAGTTAAACTAGATTATAAAAAATACATTAATAAGCACATTATTTATTTGTTAAATATAGGCATTTGCTAAATATATGAGAAAAAAAAAACAAGAGGTGAAGCACATCAACGTAGAAAATATACACTTAAACATCAGATTACCAGGACCAGATAAAAGGCCTATGTGGGATTTTTTTTTAAATAAATAAAAAAAAAAAAAGTCAGATAGACTTTGTTGTTCATCTGGTTAAAAATAACCTCCAAGGGGGGGGGGGAAAAAAAAAAAAAAAAGTCCCCCATCCTCTGAGGTTGTTCACTGATGCAGCTAAGTACCTTTGGCCTATGTGAACCTTAGAGCTTGGACAAGAAGTGAGACCTTTTCAAACTGTTACCTTTACTTAAGGAAGATTTTAAGGTTTTTTGTTTGTTCATTTGTTTAAGAGAATAGCAATCACAATCTGATTCTTGAAACTGACTTAAACCAATCATTTTATGTATAGGAATTATCCTCTGTCTGTGACTACCCTTAAAAATAAAACGAAATAAAATAAAAGAAGCTGAATTAAAAGATAATATTTCAGAAGATAACAGTGCTCATGGCAAGGAAATTCAGCCGGTGTTGGAGACCACCCTCCAAACACACTCAACCTGAAGCACAAGGGAAACCCCAAGCCCTGAAGTCTGCCACCCGACACACCATTTTGCCCACATTGGATTTTTTTTTTTCTCCTCTCTCTCTCTCTCTCTTTTTCTCTTTTTTCTTTCCCCTATACACAAAGTTTCATGATGCAATATAAGCAGTAGCTCTATATGAGTTCTTGAACTGGGTCTGTGGCACATGGTTGGAAATGGATCTTTTCTTGGTGAGAAACAGATCCTGGAAGATCCTTTTTCCCTTCTTTGGGAACTTCAGGAAAGAGATGTTTTGTAAGAGATTTCCCCCACGCAGCAGCTCCTGGGTGTGCATGAGCCTTCCCCGTGAGGAGGCCAAGCGTGGGCAGCACTGCCTGTCTCCATCTTTTGGAGGAGTAATGGTGTGACATTACCTCACTTTGTAAGGTTCTGGGATGGCGAAGAGCAGCTACTGACCATTTCCAGACCCCTGGGAGCCACTTCCACCAGCTGAGAGGTGGGAGCAGGCTCCCCAACCTCCAAGAAACACCTTGGCATCTTTCATGCTTCCTTAAAAATTAATCCAGATAGTACTTCGCTACTGCCACTCTGCTGGAGACCTGCTCTTCAGGACATTTCCCAAACGCACATGGAATAAATAAGCACCCTCTTAGGTAACAGGTCACAAAGACAGTTACCTCCATTGTTGGTTTGAAGCAAAGATGAGCCAGGAAGAAAAAAAAAAACTTTCCTCCTTCCTCCCCCCAGAAAGCTGTTTCTGCTTTATGGCCACTGTTTTGCTGCTTTTTTTAACCTATCAAATGCTACTGTGTCTTAGATTTAGAATTAAGTTTCTGTAATTCTGTCTTTTTCAAAAGAATGAGTGAAATCCTTGTCAGGTGTTCTTACTTATAACTGGTGAGAAATTTTCACTTTTAATTCCATGCCTCTTTAATTATGAGCTATTTATAGAAAATGCTGTACATCTTTAGACCCTATATTTAGAAACACCATATGGTAGGCAAAGTAGAGAACAAACAGTAAAAGGGAATTTTTGTAGGCTTGAAAATGCAATTAGGCTGCAGTATCACCAGGTGCATATTTTTGACAATAAAGGCATAGTTGGCAAATGAACTAAGGGGAGGCAGGTGGTAAAGGACTCTTTGATGGGAGCTTTGTGGCATTTCAGAAAGTAAAAGGCCTAGATAGAGCAAATTAAAAAACATCTAATAGATGCCTGAAAGCTTGTCTGACCCTGATCCATTTCTGAGTGTAACTTTTTTGATATTTTTGTGAGTTTTTACTGAACTGCTATGTAGGAGTTTTCTTTTTCACTTTTATGCAACATAGACACTTTCATTAAGGGCATATGACTTCTGTCTAGTGATTAATCTGTGCCCTGGTGGTTTGAGGTCTGCAGCATTTGAATAAGGATGACTAAGCACAAACTCCGTTATTGCCATTTCACTAGCCAGGTGCAGTGTGATCCAGGAGGTGAATAACAAGTTTACAGATTAGTTTTGCAGTTCGTCATGAAGTATTTTGGCAAGCCATCAGGGCACACCTGCTAGTCCTTAAAAATGTAATGAAAGTTTAGCCTCTTGAGGTAGCATGTTATTACCTTAAGAATAGCTTGTGGGTTAAGTAGATGAAACATCAGCATGTGTGTAATGTGAAGAGCATGCTGTGCTTGTATTTCTGTTTAAATTACTATCCTGACTACTATTTTCCTATATATTTAGGCTATCAAATCTTAGGGCACCACTTAAACTTAGAATGAAAAAATGGCATATTATGTTGTCTCTTCAAGAGATACACAGCTGTCTTCTTTAAGATATACCTGGAAGCTTTCTGCAGCTGTTCTCCGAAGGAAATGCAAGGAGAAAAGTCTGGTAGTCATACAAATCAGAAAATTGCATGGTGAGGAATAATAAAGGATACATTCAAAACATTTTATGATCCCAGCTGCCCACCTGAAGAACAGAA